GTGTACAGTAATTTTATACACTATTGCCACCACTGCAATAAAATAATACAATAACATAAAGTTGATAACATAAAATTTCACAATCAGGCTAATTTGTTACTCTCCTCACGATAAAAGTCTCGAACTCATCAACGGCAAACCGATCAGAATTCCGATTGTTATTCTTTTCATAATTATTCCAAATCTTCTTTTCATAATTATTTAGCATGCAGGAACCGTTCTTTCCATTTAATATTAAATCAGCATTTCCAAAATTCATCCAAGTTCCTTCACGATTAAAAATTGCTCGTGAAGGGTTTTTCACACGGCTAAGTATATGAGTATTATTAGAACCTTTTTCATTTTCATAACAAAAGATAAAACTATAAGATTTACATTAATAAGAAAATGATTAAATAATATACATAAATACTATCTATAAAATCAATAAACAAAGCAATAGGAACTCACCTATCTTTAGTCGATTCCCACTGCTGATAGCACTCATCTTCATAATAATCATCATCATAATAATCCCTAGTATTTGATCTCTTCTTACAGTTTCTCAAACCCAAAGGATTATATCCACCAATTATTTTTGTTGAACCCGAAACCTTAATTAATCCAAGAATTGCTTGGTTACAATTATCAACATTATTATCGATAAATTTATTATAATCAAACCCATCGCGTGTTGCACGATAAGTAAGTATAAATTGGTAAAAAGGTTGCCTAGAAAAGGTGTTTCTTCTTTCGATCCAATTGGTAATTATTTCAGCTTTATCTTGTTCGATTATAACAGAATCAATACTAACAGATTTACGTGAAGGCAGTTTTGTTGAAATTTTACAACTTATATTTGCCATCAAATATGCCATTAAATCTTCATAAATATTTTCTGGTATTGCTTTTTTATAAGGTCTAACATGGTAATAAAAATCTTCTCGAGTTATTTCATGAAATCGAATATGTGGGATGAAAGGTTCCAGACATTTCTTGAATGACGCAAAATCACTCTCACTCCAATTAGTGACATTTGTTTCTGCAGATTTTTCTTTAAAAAGAATAGATTGTGCTGTTCCCCATTTCACCAAATATCTCCAAATATCAATTTCTTCAATATTCATCATATCTTTTTTAATAAGTATCAAAACAATATCTTTATCTAAAATTTG